TCTTGGAGATTTTGAGTATATTCGGATGCCTATGGGATTGAAGGGAGTCCCTGCTACCTTCAAAAGGATATTGAATGATTTAAAGAAGTACCTGAGGGCAAGAGTTTTTCATATACATTGACGATCTTATCATCAATTTAGCCAGTCCAAAAGAACACTTGAAAGTATTGACGAAGTCCTAGGGAAGGTCGAAGTCCTGGGAATGAAGCTGAAGGCATCTAAATGTGAGTTCGCAAAGAAAGAAATTAAGCTGCTAAGATTTATCTTGAGTAAGGAAGGTATAAGGCCCGATCCCGAGGAAACGAAAGCTATCGACAAGTACCACAACCAACGAATGCAACGGAAGTCAAATCGTTTCTATTAATGTGCTCATTTTCTTTTGAAGATTCATACACAACTTTGCTACTGTTGCTGCCCCTTTCACTGCACTAACAAAGAAGAATGTACCTTTTGATTGGAGATCTCAGTCCAAAGAAGCTATGAACCAAAAAAAGCACTAACGACGGCACCTGAACACTTGATTGTTAGTGTAATTTCTTTGTTGATTACATTACCAGCTAGTAAAATAGTGGTAAACAATAGTCCGGTAATTAACAACGGCGATAAGCAAGGAATAACCATTAGTTACAATGGTGTCCTCCAGTTTAGGACCCAGTGGTAGTGAAAAAGCTGAACTGTGCAAAGGAATATGCGTGATGAGTTTAGGAGATGACGTTGGACGCTGACGACGAGAGTCAACGCACAATGAATCAAAAGATTTGTGATGAATTCAAAAATCAATAGCACAACTGCAAATGGCAAGTGCAACAACTTCTAGTAAGAGAGCCAACAATGGAGACTTACCAATATCTTTAACGGGAATCCCATAAGCAAGATCGAATAGCATCTTGACCGGAGGTCCTTCGCAATTGTCTAGCTTATCGTCACAGAGACATCGGAATTGGTTATCTACTTCCAAACATATTCCTCTTCGCATACACTTTTTAGGACAGTATCCCGTGTCGACCGCGGTCATCTAAAAAGATAATGGTTGCGCAAGTGTACCCGTCTGCGGAACATGACTTGTATGAGGCAAATGGCACCTTAGTGTTATCTTACAAATAAGATATTCGCGCCAAAACTCTCGGTCGCACAACTATCGGGGCAGCAGGTCTCTTCGGCAGGTCGCTGGCACTTAGTGGCACCTTTTCCGTGAGGTGGTCAGAAACTAAAACCCCAAATTTAAACCGTCCCAGGCCTTAATCCAAAAAATTTTCTCAATAAAGATGCCGCCTAGACTCTGTAGAAAACTCCATAAAAGACTGCGGTTCTAGAACTCCCCCTTTAGTAAAATATCTGGAAGCGCAGGAAGAGCTGTCGGCAACTTCGCGATGTCAGTTGCCTGCAACCTGCCGGCAGCTCGTCAAAATCCGCGAGATGGCAGCTGCCGGCAGGTCAGAGAGCACGGAAAATAGCGTGCTCTTTTGAGAGAGGGAGCTGCCGGCATCTCGACGTGCCCCTATCACGTCGAGATGGTGGCACCTTTGCCGACGGCGTCTGTGAAAGTGCGTTGTGGACAGTTGCGGGCGACGCCGCTAGAATGCCGCCTTCATTCATCATTTCTAAAGTCCTATTTTCTAAGAGCGTCTTGTCCGTTTTTATTTATGTCGTTGTAATGTCTCTGTCGCGTTCTTAACCGAAGTAATCATTGCAAGTGGCCTTGTGTGGCCAGGGGGCCTCGAGGAGCCACCCTGGCTGAGTTCCTTTTTCATTTTTGTCGCTCTTGTCGCCATCTTATCGAGTTGGAACTGAAAGATAAGGAAGACAGGGGAGAAATGCTTCAAACATAGCAGAAACCCTGAAAGGTAGGTAGTACAATTTTTTTTCTTTCTTTTTTTACAACATTCTTTCCTCTATCTCATCCCACTCATGGTCTCTAGTACCCTTCATTTGATTTTCTTTTGCTTTATGATAATTTTTACTGTTTTTTTATTTGTTCGTTTTTGAAGCAAATAGTGCTTCGTCTTAAAAATATTAGTTGGCTTACCCGGCTTACTCCGCCCGGCCCGTCAAAACACTATGATAGTCTCATCCCTATCCCTGTACAACGTTTCCCCGTGCCCCATTCTACACATCATTTCCCGTTCCCTGCGTTTTTTTCGAAATTGGCATGCTCGAATACCCCCCCCCTGTGCCAACTCCCAGGCCTGTAGCTCAGACTTTGCAAAAAATCGATAAAGTAGACAAAATCGATATCGATCGAAGACAAAAAATAGCCTATGACACGCGCCTGGCTTCGAAGTGTATTTGTGCCAGGTTTGTATTTCAAACCCTTAATCTGCATTTCAGACCCTAAATGTTTTAATCTAGATCTCTGTAAAATCACTTCCAGGCAAATTTCCTATTTGTTAGGTATTGTGGATCACATAGGAGCACTATAGTGTACATAGACGTTGTAGTTATGGTCAGTGGTTTAGAAGCATCGTTTCAAGTTTCTCAAACCTTAGTCTTTGTTAGCTCGACTGTTTTATCTATACAGCCAGTGTTAAGTCTATAGTATTAGGTTGTCCGGAAAATAATGTCGCATGGCATCCTACCGCGACAGCATGACCACAAAAAACATAAAATGGGGTATCATTCGATAGAGGAAAGCAAGCTCTACAAGATAGTTCACAAATCTCTGCGGAGATCTTGCTCCACCTGAAGTTCGAATCCAAAATATAAAAAATTTCAAACGCCCGAAAAATCGTATCTCCGTTCACAGACGTCTTAGGGATCTGACATATGCGTTCCCAGCTGATGAACTTATGCCTTTTTCGTTTCGTGGTCGCGTGCGCGAGATCCCTCCAAGTCGCGGCGATGTCGACGCGAGTTTGAAAAGTAGGTTTGGTTAATTTATATCTTACCTTATGGTGACTCCAGTAAATTTTCATCATTTATTACAGTGTCTTCTATGATTTGTCTTTCTGTTCATGTACGTTAGGCGTCGGACAGAGTTCACGCGATTTGATCGTCGCGATTCAGTCGCGACAAGACAACTCATAGGAGTTTATTGCATGCCGGCCAGCTTGCATTTCGGTTGTGATACTTTTCCAGCCGAAATTTTTGAATGTGAAATGAGAATGAACGGGAATTTCGGCGATTGAATCGCGACGATCAAATCGCGTGAACTCTGTCCGACGCCTTAAGAGGTTTTATCAGTTTCATGGAGGTCACATTCATGCTGATTATGATCACCATCTGAGACCGTTAAGTTGTTATAAATCAGTGGGCCTGTTTAACTTATGATTTTTGTTGAAACGAGTCTAACTTGAGGATCGTGTTGGTAATTTGTGTGTCCTTGACTTGAGCTGATATAAGCGATCAAACGCTCTAGTTGACAGCTGTGAAATTGTGATTCAATGTCCGATCAAGGCAGATATTTAAGATAAAGCTGAGCGAAGACTGATCACGATTTCATGCGAACATATGGCCAAACGTGACCTAAGGATTCTTCGTTCGCTGAACAAGGAGGACCAGATGATATACTTGAGTCAGTCACAGTGGCAGCTGGTGAGCCACTTGCAATTTTCGCCATGTTTTTTTTTCTCATTTTCAATGCGCGCAAGCTCTTTCTTATGAAGAGTTAGAGCAAGCAGTGTCTGCTAACGTTTTGGTGCCAAAGGTGATGGAATGTTGTTGGGTAAGAGTGTCAGTTGTTTAACCTGATTTTATTGGCTCCGCCCGCAGCTATGCTGTTATCAGAATTTCCATAATTCTGCAACAGAAAAGTTTCTCATACTGGGCTGTCACCTCCCCTCGGTATTGCATCCAGCACCTTCAGTAACGTAGAAAATGCGTGCATTTTGTCGGCTTTTGTTATACCCTTTGCATTTTGTGTTTTGCACTTGTCACAGGGCTTATTCAGCAAGTTCGTTTTCGTAATACTGTGTTGAAATTTAGGAAATGAGGTCATGTTTCCACATCCCATGATTCTTTGCTAGGTCTCTCCAGTTAAAGATTATTATCATGTTTGATTCTAGGTACTAAATCTGGCCACTTTTGAAAGACGATAAGGACGATGCGAGTCGTTATGAATACAGCCTTCTCCTCGCAGAATTAGGTAATTTGTGTTTCAATATATCATTTTCGTCCCCTTGTGATTCTGATCATTATCTAATATCTATTGACATTTTTGTGCGAAAACCAATTGGCTTACACCTTGATACCTCCAACAACATTCCCCTGCTCATGCCCCACTTCTATATATCTGCTCTTTCTACCTTGCATTTTTAATTTTTAATATCTGCAGAACTCCTTTCTTGCAAGTTGTGGCTGCCCAGCTAGGGAACGGCCATAGGTTACCGGCAACGTTTGCCGAGATTGCCGGTCGTTGTCGAACTTTAGTTTCTGTGCTTTATGCGCTATTTAGGAACCCCAGCAACTTCGGCAACCGTTCCCGGCAACCTATGGCCGTTCCCTTAGGTTCTTGCATGGTGGTGGTGCATCACAAATTGGATAGAGATCTTTTTCGACAAGTTGAACAAGAAGATTCTTCAATTTGTTGCCTCTGGACTTGCACTTACACAAGGCTGAATTCCTTGGTGACATACATCCCTCGATTTTGTGTTCCAGCACAATTGCTTGATGTCTGAATAGCAAGGATGCATCAGAAATCAATCTTTCTCTCATGAGGTGATTTTTGTTGTGTGCCAAACAGAGATACTATCGGACTTTTGTACCCTGTTCGTATAAGCTGAACGCTCTTCTTGTTCATAACTGTTCCTTTCTTTCAGCGAAATCAAAGAAGCGCTATGTTGGCCAGAGCATCTCCAGAAGACGTGAATACAACGTCTGGCACTAGAGAACGGTGGTCACCAGTGCACTTGGCCTGCAGTATCGGAAATTTTGCCATTCCTCAGCTTTGTTATGGGTGAGTGCGAGAGTTCATGAGAGTTCATAGTACTCTTTGGATTTGTAATAGTTTCCAGGGACGCATAGTTCCGGTAATTGTTTTCGACTAGTTCATGAAATTGTGAAGAATGGATAGCATCAAGTTCGTAAAGCGCTTGACACTCCAGGTGAGACTTTCTGTCTATAGTTGACCTGATCACTTGTGTTATCACTATGTTTAGGCAATTGTGATGACGAGCAAAGGTTTTATTCACTATCCTTCTACTTTTGATGGTCCAGGAATACCTTTGCGTCGTGCCCCAATAATTTGTCACGGATCGGACAAAACATGGGATTCTAGACTCCAGTGAGCAGTCCTTTCCCGGTTTTTTTTGTATATACTGTTCACGATTCACTTTGGGAATTTCACTGAAAACCGTACAGCTGTCTCAATGTTTTGAGATTTGGTCACAAGCAGTTTTTGTTTGTGCTCGTGAAAACATTGTAAGTGACGGTTACAAAATGTGACAGTCTTTAGAGTTACAGCTGCCGGTCAAGAATCAGAAACGTTTTCGTGATTAGCTTTTTTCTAGATATGACGACGTGCCATCATGTTTTTCGAGGGTGTGTGAGAAAGCAGCTAAGGAGTCTGCCAAGAGTTCGCCATCACTGAGGAGGGAGGAGGATTTCGGGAGGGAGGAGGGTGCAAAAATTGAAGGTTTGTCTTCTTAGTAATCTTACCAGGGAAAGTACTTTGAGAGGCAGTGGCCGCTTGATATGAGATGAATATTATGTGGATCAGTTTTTCATGCTGATGTGAAATTCACATTCTGATTTGCGGAACCCTCTGAAAGTACTTCCCTTATTAGACATGCTAGTGTGCGGCCAAACTCAATTAGAAAGCGGGAAAAATGCTGGAACGCTTAGCCTTACAGTTTCATTTTGAAACAGAAGTGGAACAGTTCCAGTCAATGCTGAAACACGTGACCCTAAGAGTGTAAGGCATGTGGACTCCGCCGCAGACAGGAAATCCAGAAGTGGCGAGGCTCGCCCTTAGGGCAAACCAGGCCTGGTTTTGGGATTCTGGCCGAACCTTATGGCCTCGCACTTGCTTGATGGCGTGTATGATGGGGCTCACTTCCGCCTAATGAAATCCCAAAATCCCCTTGTCCTGAGCCGCCTTTAACTAAAGTTGGTTTGAGGATCTGGTATGGAATTGTGCGCTTGCCAATTTCAGGTGGGTGGCGTTATGGAGGCGGATGGAAACACGCAAACATCAACGAACAGAAACATTTATATCACTTTTTTCATCACTGTAACATTCACACATTCGTTGTTTTTGAATCAAAAACCTGTCGCTAACCCAAATTCTGCATCAGAATGAAGGATTTGATTATTCGTGTAAAAATCGTTGTGATTTTCAATATCAATACCTAGTAAACCCTGCCCAAAACGGTGTACACAGTTTGAAACTAATTCTCCAGAGTCTTGTTGAACGCCGAACAACAAGAAGTTTTATTTCGTCATGGCCTCGGTAAGCCTCCTTATATAGCAATTTTATCATGCTACGATGGTTTCTTAGTCCATCGTCGACCATCAGGATGTCATAGTGGAGGAAGTGTTAAAAAGGAGGAACCTTTTTGGGACAGATCTGCCAATAGGGAACCAAACTGTAACCATAAAAGGGCATAAGCGTGGAAGGAGATGAGAAAAATCGTTAGTGCGAAAAAGAAATGAGCATTGAGTACGTCAAAAGATGCTGGCATACGAAGAGGGACGTTCGGGATCTCCTAATGAAAGAATAAAGTAATATACATTCTTACCCGCATGTTACTCAATCACATAACTTTTTTGTAGGTACAGATCTGCTACCGGGAGCCGCGTCAATGTGGCACTTGAACATGCGTTGACAAAAAGAATGGCGAGCATGGCGGAGGCAGACGTCAAGATAGCACAAGCCTTAGGCCCGGAGGCCTGCTTCGGCGGCCTCCGGGTTGCCGAAAGCGCAGTATGCGTAAGTAAAACACTATCCTTTTGAGGCTGCACGTAAAAGAAGAGTTCCAGGCGCCACCCCCTTCTGAATGTTCCGCGAAAATACAGTGGATCGCAGGAAAGTAGGAGCTCTTGAAGCAGTTGTCAACTGTGAGTCGATCACTAGCTGCTACGAATCGTCACTAGCTGATACGAATCATCAAGTCGTTTTATAATTTGAAAGCGATAGCGAGAGCGATGCTGTCGACGACACCCCTAGGAAGCGCCCTCGCTCCAATGCGCAGCAAGAATTGTTAGAAGAGCAAACAAAATATATAAGAGTAAGTTCAAAGTTTATCTTTGCGTTTTTCTTACCTAAACTATGTTTGCAGGCCAAGCGCATGTACCTGGAGAAAAAATATGCAATCCTGAGCAAGGTCGACGCATTGGTCGATCGAATACAAATCAACGTCAACGTGCAAACATCCGGCCCCCCACCCAAACAACAGCAGACGAAAGTAGTCGATGACAACATCGAGGAGCCTCTGCTATCTCAATGTTATACAATTTTAGTTTGATTCGTTTGTATTTACATTCTCGTTAGTCTTCAAGAACATCGATCTTATTTTTAGTCACGTTTTTATTACTTGCATTGATGATATGATAAGGCAAATACAAAATAAATGACACAACTGATAATTTGTAGCGCACATGCACTTATATTATTAGGTCATACGGAAGGTTTTTTCGTTTTCGCACCATCGGATTTAAACAAGCACAGCTTCTTCCAGATTCAAGCTTCTCCCACAAAATAAACTTTATTCTGTTCAGCATATTCTGGCAACAATCCTGTAGTGTTCTCGCGCTTTTGCATTGCAATTCATTAGAATCATTGCAAAAATGACTTTAATGGGGCTTTGTGTCACTTCAAGGCCTGCTGATAGTTTTTATGCGAGGATATCTCCGGTTCGCTTTGAAGGACTGAGATGCCCGGCTATGAGGTAGCAACGCCCCCCGTCCAATATCGCGTTTTAATATGTCGCATGTAAAGCCGCACAAACTTCCCTACAAGGAGTTGTTTGCAATTTCGATGGGATCATCAGAAACTAGAAAACTCCCTCTACAGGTTCATATATAGCAACCCCTGTCGGCCTTTTTCCACTCTCTTTTGATATGGCACTGACACCACCAAGCGGAAAAAGCCAAAGATTCCCTAATAACGTAATATAGTAAGCAACTGTGTAAACACCCATAACAGTCGAAATTAGCGCTGACGTCAAAGCGCGACGAGAGAGTCTTACAACACGCATGGTGGACTCTGTTGCCGCATTTGCTGTGTTGAAAAATGAAAGTGCATGCCAAGTGTGTTGGACCGATTATCGATTTTTTCACCCATCCTACTGCACTGCTTATTCCAACTGTATATTTAAGTAAGCATGCTGTACGAATGCGATTACTGGTTGCAAAAATACCCATCGAAATTATCGATTTTAACCACGGGCTGTGAGTCAGGACAGGAGGACATTTGAGCAAGGTGGCTACCAATATATTAAGCGGCTGTAAAATTCGCCATTGATTTTACCGATTTATCGATTTGCGACCTTCAAGCTAAGGGGGACGAGTGTGGCACGGCGGAGAAAGTGAGCATGCCGATTACGATAAATGACCTTTCTTGAAAACAACCATTGCTTTCTTAGGTTTTATTTGTTATTTACAACCTTCCTTCCTAAAACCGTGGGTTTTGGCGCAGGAAGTGATTGAGCACATCGATGACAAATGTAATAACAGTTTAAAAAATACCCATAACTTTGCTAAATTTTTTGCCAACTTCGAGCTAAGAGCGACAGTTGCGACAAGCGAGAGGGGAGGGGTATTTGAGCATGTTGTTGATGATAACAGCAAGGGTGCCTTCGTACCGCGCCGGCAGCCGCCGCTGGCCGCTAGCAGCCCGTAGCAGCCCGTAGCCGCCGCTGACCGCTTTCGCTATATGAGCAATTTTTCAGAATCTTATTACTTTGAGTGCTCCTGTCTACCTTTTTATCTTCAACGCTTTTCTTTTGTTGCCGCTAGTACGCAGTTTGACCACATATCATATATGTGCCCATTGTTTTCATTACCATCTCGCCGTATGGTCATCCTGTTGAAACATAGTTGACAGAAGGTTCTTTCTGGTGTAATTCACTCTGACTTTGGATGCGCCGTGTTCCGGCAGGTGTGCAATTTGTTTTTTGAATATGCTTTTGCTTCAATTTTTTCTTGGCTATCGGTGCATATGCAATTTGCATTCTACTATTTCGCAAGTTCGCCGGGATTCATTTGCGCGGGTTGAGTTTTTCTTGCTTTGATAATCGCTCACATCTTTTCAAATAAGACAGACTGCAAAAGAATGTGAGCGCGATAGGATACAATGTGAACAGAACAATGAACACAAATGAATTGTGGGGAGTTGGACTGCATGTTAGCGAGAATAAGAAGAAATAAGCGTAGAAGATGAAAAGCGTAGGCAGGAGCACTTAAAGTAATAAGATTTCGATGAATTTGCTCCTATAACAAAGGCGGCCAGCGGCGGCTATGATCTGCCACGGGCTGCTGGCGGCTGCTGACGGCGCGGTATGAAGGCACCCTAACAATGTTGACTTTGTGTTTGTGTTTTCTGTTGTGTTTGTGCCCTGGATGTTGTGATCTTCACTGATACTGACGTTTCTGCGTCCTCTCCTTTATCAAGGCGTCTTTTGAAGTCTAAAACGACTTGTAATGTATTCGTTCAGACGGCGCATCCGAAGAGATCCAATCAAGAGATCAACTGAAATTACAGCGAATAAAAGCGAACCCGAAGAAGTGCTTAGCGTGATACAGTTATTGTTGGAGCCAAGGCCACCCATACGAGAGAACAATGGTAGGCACTGATTACAACGCGCATATTTATGCATTGAGGACCAGCCAATGCAGTCCGCCAAAAAACCTCGTTCCTCCTGTAGTTATCCTAGTCGTCACGTTTCTTGAATTTTTTTCTTTTTTTAAATTTCTTGAATTCAGGTTTATATCATAGGAGAGGTTAAGCAAATGCCCATTTATACAAGGTATCTTGTAGTAAAGCATGCATCGTCTTTGCTTCAGTGATACTGCACGAGAAGATAACGATGTCATCCGCAAAACGAAGGTTGGACGGGAATCTCCCATCAACTCGTATGCCTCTCTCGTCGAAGTCCAGTGACTTCATCACTCATTGCAAGGACGCGGTGAACAGCTTCGGCGAGATCGTGTCTCTTGTCGGACCCCCTTCCCGATTGGTATGGTCAGGGGGCGATGGAACAGTTGCGTCGTTGTTGTACAGACCTTGTGGCGGTTGGCTAGTGCCCCCACATAGGCTGGGTCCACTCCTTGATCGACTAGGGCTGACGGATGGCGTTGGTTTCGACGCTGCCAAAGGCTTTCTCGTAGTCGACGAAGGTTAAAACGAGAGGCAGTCGGTTTTCTCGGCAGACTTCTATGACCCTCGAAACCGTCTGGATGTTGTCCATGCAATCGAATCCCTTGCAAAATCCAGCTTTCCTTGGGGTTGGGCTTCATTCAGTGTTCCTCGGTATGCGAACGAGGATAATTTTCGTGAAAAGTTTGTAGAGCATACTCAGCAGGCATATTGAATGGTAGCTTCAAAGATTATCCTGTTCGCCCTTCTTGAAGAGAAGCACTGTTCTTGATGTTATCTACTGAACGCGAGTCTTCTCCTTACGAAGGGGTTTGAGACACTGCCACGACCGAATAGTTCTGTGAGAGCACTTTCACGGCCATAATGCTGGGTCCTGACAACTGAGAACTTGAAGTTGAACCGACAAGAGAATTATGGAATGGCCGGTTGGCCAAATCCTCCGCCGATCAGATCAGCAAAAAGAAGAGAATAAACACTGCATGTCGGATCCCGCCTACGGCACCGGGTGGTAGCAAGAACGATGTCAGGGTACTCAAGGCGCCTTTTGGATTGGACAAAAACGACAAGTCTGCCTGGACAACATGCCATGGAGACTGTTTCATGCTTTGCACCTACAACGCCAGGACAGTCTCCACAAACGCCGACCTCCACGCTCTCGACGCTGCAAAGTAAATCAAGTACCACGTCATCGCTCTGCAGGAAACTGAAGTCCAGAAAGAAGGACGTTCGAGGGATGAGTGATGGGACCCTCATCATTCGTGGTGAAATATTCCAGCACGAAACGTTGGAGGCGTTGGCTTTGTCGTCCACCCACCTATCGTCTATCTTGTCGATTCGCATGAGATCATGTCACCGAGTAGCCATCCTACGACTACGACCTCCACGTCAGAAGACCATCGGCATCATCAACTGCTACTAACCAACATAGTATCTGACGATTCAAAACTAGATGCTCCTACGAAGACGCGGAGCAGGTCGTCCGCAACGAGAAGTCCTTCTACAAGTTTGTTGTGGACGACTTCTATGCGAAAATCGGGATGCCACTAGAAAGAATATAGAATCGGGAATTTTGGACAAGGGCTTCGGAACGGAAACAGCAACCGTCTTGTTGGGCTTTTCGCCGCCGCACGACTTTTCCATGGAAATTCCTTCATGAAGAAAGAACATCTCCGGTGGACTTGGGAGTCGCCCAACGGAACAACTCACGCGGAGATCGACCGCATTCTCACCAACCAAAGATGGAGCTTGATGTCTCAGTAGTTCCATATTTCTGCAGTGGCTCCGATCACCGCCTCCTTCGAGCGAACGTATGATTCAGTCAAAAGCTGGAAAAGAAGTTCTACCACAATGCCGCGTAAAGGAAAGAAGTCGTTTATGACGGTAACAGGTTGGAAGCGCTCATATCAAGTTGTAACTGACCCATCGAGGAGGACTCAGTACGACTACGATCGGCTTCTGAAAGGACTGCGAGCCTGCGGAGAGTGCCCCTCGGTGACTTCTGAGAAGAACTTGGGCCGCATCTTGAAGACCACCAGAGAAGCTCGAAAGGAGATTTCTGAGGCAGTATCCGAATGCAACCCATTTCGAGCTACTGATAGCCAACGCCAGTTGCAGAACAGCTTTGCAGGAGGATCTTGGAAGAACAGGCAAACCAAGATAATGGAAGCATCCGAAGAAAGTCGAAGTCTCAAGAAGTGCTGAAAGGTTCTGCGAATATGATGTACCGCTGGGCTGCACTATGGAGCGAAGACGGGACTCCGACTTTTTCCTGTTTAAGATGGAATCTATTGCGAAAAACTTTTACACCAACCTCTTCCGCTCATCAACACCCGTGCCGGTGCCCGTTGTTTCCACTGGAGAAGTAACTCCAAAGATTCTACCTGCTGAAGTGCGTACTGCGATACAGACTATGAAAAGTCCACAGCTCCAGAACCAGATCAGTTTTTTTTTTTGAACTTCTGCGAGCCGGAGGACTAGCAGTCTACATGAGATTCTAGCGTCGCAACCATGCAGCTATTCCATCGCCCCTGACCATTGCAATTGGGAAGGCAGTTCGACAGGCGACACTGTTTCGCCGAAGATGCTGTTCTATGAGCAGGAGAACACCGTCAACATCAGGCTGTAACATCGAAATGACATCTTACCTTT